GGATGATTCGGAGGGAGAGCTATTTTCTGGATTTCAAGTGATCGTTCGTACGATGAAAGTGCTTTCGAGTACTCGCCCATGCTATCATACACCGAACCGATGTTGTTGTAGGAAGCAGCCAAGTGGGGATGATTCGGAGGAAGAATTTTCTCGTTGATATTAAGTGTGTTTTCGTAATATATAAGTGCTTTCGAGTACTCGCCCATATCATTATACACGCAGCCAAGTTGATGATTGTACTCCGCTCGACCTTGATCAGAAGATGCCTTTGCAAGGAGGATCTGATAGAGTTGTTCGGCTTTTGCAGGTTCGCCCACTTTAATAAGTATGAAACCAAGTTGAGACCATCCTCTGCGTCCACCAAGTTCCTTACGTATATGTGCAGTAAGTGTGTTCAATTCATGATTGTCATTACCGACAATAGTGAGATTAACTTCGTATAGCCGATCAGAGTGATGATCGTGAATTTGTTCAATGCGATTGATACGAAAAATCGCATGTGTTGAAAAGAGTATTTCTTCCTCTTTATCTTTGTAGTAGCCAACTTTACTTACTTCAGCAAATGGTGTTGAGGATTTCGTGCAAATATCAGTGTCAATGTTCATAATGAAAAGGATGCCAACTGAATTTGTATTTAATGCTGCTGGTCGTGCAAAGTTATTGAAAGATATCTCACGATTGCGACTTGTTGACAGAAAATTATTGAAGGACATAAGTCCTCCTTTGGTTTTTTTCATTTTTTCAAAATCTTCCATGGATAAACCTTGTCCACGGAAGACTTGAAAATTTGTTGGCATGTTCCCTTGTTGTTCACTATGTAATTCTTTAATATGTTGATGTAAATGCCGGATGAAAAATCCCATTTTAAGGATGATGTCAATATCCATTTGTCGGAGTCCCCGATTGAGCATTGGATATATAAATGTTTCAGCCGTATACCACCATATTGGTGTATGATCACGATATTCATTTTCGACCTTCCTAATTTGACCTTCATCAACATCGTCTTGTAGACGACAGTACTCTACGAGATCTTTAATTGATTTGACATCGTCATCTTCAATTTCCAAAAGTGCTTCTTTTAATAATTGCGTATACATAAATAAGGCATCACGACCATTAAAGCTGATCGAGATCATTGCTCGATCACAATTTTCACGATCGATTTGCAAGGCCTTACAGATTGGTTTGATTTTTGTGTATACACCTTTAACCTTTGGTACTTTATTGGCCCATTGTTCGTGAGCTGCTTGGTTGCGACAGAATACATAGACTGACTCCAGTTGTGGCCATGCTTCAATATCTGCTATTATTTGCCGTCCGAGTGAACCAGATATGATCATAAATACCTTTTGATTTGTAACGGCACTGAGAAAATCAATGCATTCTTGAGCATCTTTAAATGTTTCGATGCTTGCTACAACACGTCGCAGGCGTCGAAACGATTTCTTGAAATCGTCATTGGACTCATCCAATTTGGCATCAAGCCATAGAAGCCGGAAATTTTGAAGAACCCGACGCATAGATCGAGACAACACAACAGCAGCACGATTGTTCGCGTTGGTAATAGCGGTGGTGCTAGGTGTCGCTGCTGCACCACTGGTAACAGTTGTTGTCGATTTTTGTTTGCTCATTGTAATTGAACGAATGAATATAATCAGTGAAATGAAGTCCCCTATATTTATAATTGTTAAATTTTTTGTTGGTTAACATCATTCCTTTTCTGACTTGTGGCTACAAACTTCAAGAACCTCTACTATCTGGTTCATTTTTGTTTCAAGAGTGTTACTGACAAAATGATGATAACGGATGAATCAAGTCTCTACACATCGAACCATAAATAAAGAAGAATGACTAAGCAAACAAATAGTCGCTGAGGATGGACGACATGACTAGTCCGAAATGTCGAAAATACCTGTCTTAACTAGTTATCCTGACATGAAAACTCCTGCAGCTACGTCTGAACTAGTCCAGAATGTCCTCAAACTTCGACATGTCTAACCCGTTTCTCTATCTAATCAATCCAGATTAGTCGGTAGACCAGAAAAAGAGTATTTCTAAAAGTAAAAATTGTGCCTTTCATTACTGGTACTCGCGTTGAAATTTATGCATAGAAACAGTTACTCTGTTTAATATGTTTTACAATAAGATTGTTTTATACATACAAGATTCTGCAACCAAGACAATCGATTGCATGTTCTGAGTATTATCAAGCGAAGTTCTCTTAAAACTACTTTATAAACATAAAAATAACACATGTTTATGTATCGTCATTTTTTTTGTGTGTAGCTACTCTTTACTTTTAACTTTAATTTTCTTACTAGTCTAATAATGTTAGAAACTAAATATACTTACGTGCTATGTAATATTGGAGTGTAGCAAATTTTGTTTTGTGTGCTTGCAATCGATTTTATTCTGTATTTATTATTGACAAAATTACTTGGTTTTTTCCCACAAACGTATATTTACATGAATCAATGAAGCATGACTTTTTCATCATGTAAACGACTTTTTCGACCATGTGTTCGTCATAAAATACGTTTCGTTTTTCATATATTCTACTTCTTCCTTTTTTACCTTACCTTTGCGTTTCGTGTTGTTGCAATGATAAAATATACACTGATACTTGTATAAGCGTAAATTTGAGTTATAATGATTCATTAGACTTTGAACTTTATTCTAATATATATAAGTATTTTCTATCGTAAAATTTTTTTTGAAATTGATAATTATAGAAGTAGTGTTGAAAGCTTCAAAATAAATAAATGAAAAATTTTATATTTTTTATTTTATCGTTCGATGTATGAAAAACTCTATTTATCACTCAAACTTCGTTAGATGCATCTGAAGAAAGTATGGCGAATGTGCTTTAAGAAGACTCAGGCATTTTGAGAAGTGGGTGTGAGTGTTTGTATTGCTTATCCCTACACATCCCGACCCTCAATTATTTGGTTTAAATATCTAAGAATTTCAATCATAATCAAGCAATAATCAACAATCAATGAATAGAAGTAAAAAATATTGATACAAATGAATAACATCTTTCAATCAGTATTCAACAAATAATGAATGATTTTAATTTCAATGTAAATCTTTTTTTAATGTGTTGATATGGTATGTTATATTTGTTTACAACATAATGATCATAATGTTGTATCAAGTTCATTAGAAACGCTTGAAATTATACTTAAATATTCAAATATATTTGATTTTGATCAATTATTAATTTCAACCCAAATTGGATCTATAGAAGAAATTCGTGTTGGTGAAGCCTTAAGAACAGGTAAATATTGAGGAAAAAAAACAAGAATTATTTTTTCATCTGTTTTTTTTTTCTAAAACAATAGCTTGTTCAACATGTCAACGTTGATTTATTGAAATGAATGATGAATTCGATTCAACATCAATGATTAATAATGAAAAATGAATATCAGCTGCTAAACTTGTTAATCAATTATATTGTTTTTCCGATTAGATATATACTTAATATGGATGGTACGATAAAAAGTGATGATGAATCATGTATTAGTGTTAAATGTACTATATCAATATGCTTATCGTATTTATCAACAATTTGGTCGATTTGATTACCTTATTGAAAGTATGTTTAATTCTTGTTTGACTTTTTTTTATAATCCAAAATTATTTCTAATATCGTAACAGTAGGAGGTCTAGGTGAAGGGGATTGTGGCAGCGTTTAGTTGACGTGGCTTCAATTGGTTAAAGTCTCAAAGTTTTAGTGAAAGTTATCTGATAGATATGACAATTTCACTATTAAATTGTTGAAATATATATATATATTGGAATCTGAAAATTCAAGAACGGAGATTTCTGAATATTGATTCAGCAACTCTAGTCCTATTCCTACTTTTAATTTTTTTGAAACCAACAAAAGACTAGAACGTTTTATTGAAGCTCAAAGCCTGCATTGATACATCAGAGATTGAAATTATATAATCACATAACTACCTCAAAAAAAGTTCTAAGCCGAAGTTCGAGATATGAAATCAATTGTATCCTTTAAGAAGTTTTTCTTTAGTCTTTGAAGATTTTTGATTAAATAAAAATTTTGTAACTGATATGAAATTTCCTAATGAGAAAAATGAAATTCTCATCTCTATCTGACTTGAAATACATTAAAATTTATCGAACATCAAGGTATCTTTTTTTTCTTTTCTTTAAGATATTACATATCTTTTATCTTTATGTGAACACGGTGATCTACATTTACGTGGTGCATGTGCAAATTTACTTGTTACATTAATTCAAACAACAAATCATCTTTTAACACTATCATCATTATCAAATTCATTTAATAATTCTTTTATTAATTAATGTTCACTTATATCAACCGATTCATAAGACAGTTCAAGATTATATGTCTTAATGATAATAATGCACGTGTTATACATGTTTCATTAAATGCATTTACAATCATAGGAATTAAATTATTAGAAGATTCTATTCAACATACTACAAGTTCCTATGTTCTTGCTAAAGTAGATAAAAGAAACTTATGATTATAATAATTTTTTTTTGTATGTATATAAAATAGTTTGCTCTAGCTCAACTTATGGATGATATTGATTTTCGAATATTAACTTATCTTGAACAACAACAACAACAATTAAAACAACAGTACCCTGATATACGTGTCCGTCAAGCAACTGCTTCGACTTTTGCTAAGTATGTATTTTGTAGAGATAATAATTACGTAGCTTTTTTCGAATTTGGATGAATAAGTCGATTTTATTGCATTAAGTTAGTTATTAGCTACTTTTTGATTTTAAGGTTTTGTTGATCACAATTCATTTTTACCATGTCAATGGATACATAAAATTCATCATTCATTACACGTTTAAGCATCAACTCGAATACAAATTGTTTGTCATTTTTGTCTTTTATATAGGTTGGATGTTTAGAAGATATTTATGTTCTTTCAAATGTTTTAAGACCAACAACAATTCGACCAATTTTTTCATAATCAATATGATGAACTTCGTTTATTTATCAACTTTTTTAAACATCCATTTATATTACATGATCTTAAAAATTTAATCTTTTCAAGTAAAGAGAAAAAAAAGATATTTATAATGTTTTTTTTTGAATTCTTTCTTTTTATTTGAAGATTTATCAAATCTCAACAAATGAAAAAATGTTTTGAAAGTAGCACAAATGATTCAAGTAATTCGAAAAATTGAACTATTTTATCATCATTCTTTTGGACAGAATATAGTTGATATTTCAGTTTTCACAGAAGAAGAGAGTTCCAAAGTTTTAGATTTGAAGAATATATTTGATCATGTCTTATCTAAAGGAATTCATTTGTTTTCTCTTTTTAAATAGAATGAAAAAGATTCATCAACAACATCAAATACAGACAAAGATAAAAAAGTTAATCGTACACGATTAGGTACTTTGAGAAATAATCCATCAATGATAAAATTATTCGAATTAATACGTTCATCTTATCAATTACATAAAAGTTTATTAAATTCATCAGAAATGATTATTATTGTCTATGAAATCAGTTTTAAGTCTTATTTCTACACAAGATTTATCAAAAAAATTTGGAAGAGAAACACTTAATTATTTTAAATCAACATTCAATGTACACAAAAGGTAACTTCTTTTAAATAGAAAATATTTATTGTAAAGAAAATTTCAATTATTAATCTTCTTTATTTATTGGTTAAGCTAAAACCTTTAGGATGTTGTATTGTGTCTGAAACTTGTCTATGGATAAAACTTTAGATGGAAGTCTTATAATGAAGGTTTCTGAAAGGGTGTTTCCTAGAGAAGGAAAATTTCAATATAAGAATGTCATAGTTACAGAAAAACTGATTTTACGAATGTCGATGATCTTAACGAGAGTAGTTTTGTTGTGAAAGTGTCAGATCTTTTGATTGGGTTCTATCTTGAAATTCGAATATTAAATCATCTAGTTTACGTCAGTGATCTGCAAGACACGCTATCAATTCGAAATTTGAAAATCATTTTTTCTGTTAACACAACATTCATTTAAAAATATTCTTTTAATTTAGTTTTTATTAAATCTTCAAATGCTTCTTCACAAGTATCATTAAATAATTCTTTAACTTATATTCATACAATAAGTATTCGACAATCGATAGTTTATTTTATTTGGTTCACGCTATGCATCAAGTATAAATAGTGCAATACAACAGTAAAATAAACAAAAAAAAAATTTGATTTATTCTGTCTGTTTTTTTGTTTTCTATTTTAGTTTTTATTGAACTAAAAAAAAATTAGTCTTAAAAAATGTATTAATACAAATGAAAGTGATTTGCAAGTTGCTGTACTCGATTTACTTGTTCAATTACTTTTAATTCGTTTTAATAATAGTTAATTAGAAGCTGATGAAATTCGTTGCATTTCTAATCGTTTCGTTTATTTTTAAATAGCATTTTATTTATTGTATTGCTGAATTTCTTGTTATGTTATCACATGATACACTTCATTCAAAACAAGTTATTAAAATACAAGATTTAATAAAACATTATGATTCATTATTAGCAAGTGGACATGAACCTGAAACACATGGTAGGAAGCAAAAAAAAGAAACATTTTCGAGAAAAAGAAATTATCGTTAAAATTCTTTATTTAGCATTGACAGCATTAGAACCACTTTTATATGATTTTTTTTTTCTTGTTCGAGTTATGCGAATAATTAAAATTCCTAAAAAGTTTTATTAAATGAGAGTGAACAAAAAGTGTCCTTCTATAAAGTCTCAAATATCTTAGAAACTCGAGAAGTTGTGAGTGTGGGTGTGTAGATGTAATTTTTCTCCTCGATTGAACCTACACCCACACTTCAACGAATCGATGATCTGAAAATAATCATCTTGTTGTTATGTATTTGAGTTTGAAGGAAAACTAGGCGTCTTAATTATTATAAATACAAGTATCTTTTCATATCATGTGTATGTACTGAAAAAATAATAATAGAATTTATATTGTTATAGGCTTTACGATTGTTCACAGTTTTTGTTAATAGTGTTCAAATTGAAGATGATAAATGGGAACGTCTTTCACGACAAATTGTCGATTTACTTCTTGCTCATTTACAATCTCAGGTTGTTTTTTTGTTCAGATAGGATCAATCACTTTTGGATATTTATTCCACATAATTAACACTATTTGATGTTGTCTCATCAGTTGCATTACGATCAATTGATCCATTTGTTATTGCTTTTCGAGCATTAGTAAATAGAAATGTTCGTTGTTTTTATTTATACAATTTTTCTGTAGTTCAAAATTTTTTTTAGAATGTCAATTGTCAATCTACAAATCGATAATTAATCAATATAAATATAATATTTCGATGTCTTGTACAAAATTTAACTAAAGATGCTATATTAACACGATAGAATGATGTTTTATTATCAGTTAATGGAAGACGAGATGAAACTTTTAGTGCGTACGTATTCGAAATGATTTTATTTATAATTTAAAAACTTTTATTCTCGTTTTTGTTTTCAGAACTCTTCTTCGTGTTTTACATGACATAATATTATGAATTTTAACTAATACTCGACAATTATGTGGTCAAATCAATATGACATTAGTTTCTCTTGCATCCGATTATCTTTATGTACATATCACCCATTAATTTGAAGATAAAACTTTTCTGCAATTCATTAATTACTAATGAGCTAGCGAAAAACATTTGACTTTAAAATTTCTATGCTTATATACGATCTATAATTTTATTTTGGCTAAACAATTTCGAACAATTGTAAATGATTTTCATCAATTATGAATTCATGATAAAACTCTACATTGTCTTGAGACATTTTCATATTTAACTATTTTAAATGAATGTTTTAAATTATTATGATCATCATTTTATATCTCATTATTATTACAATGGACACCTATTCTGAATATACTTGATTATATACAAGAAGCATGGTGGTCACCAATGTTAACACCATCATCATTAATAATACGTTTATCTATAAGTAGTCAATTACAATCTTATTGTGATTTAATATGTCATCATGAATTATATGTTGAATATTTTACATCAATAACAACACATTATCAATTGTTATTATTATTTTTTATTGAACAAAGTGATACATGCACATATGTACATAATTTATCTGGTGTTATACATCATACATCAGTTGCAAGTCATTTATTCGTTTGTGAAGGAATACATTTAGATGAAAGTGGTCTTCTATTAGTTTTATTAATTGAACAATTTTTTCCATTACCATTAAATAAACAATTATTACCTAAATATATACCATAAATTTTATAAATATTATCAATAACAACATCAATTGATATTATTACAGAAGATTTTAATAATCTTAATTGTCCTATGGATATAACAAGAAAAATTTATGCACAAATGCTTAAAAATGTAACTTATAAAAACTGATTACCATTTATGATGTCACCGGTATGTTTTAGTTTAATTTATCGAAATAAATAAATATATATGTATAATAAAAATTTTAATCCAATTAAAAGAAATGTTTTTTTTTTACTTTGACATTGTTAATGTGCTAGTAATAGATGAGACTTTTGAATAATTCAAAACTTCGAAAAATATTTTGAAATAGAAAATATGCAGACTTTCAGGTAATACAAATCGTAAAGGAAAGCATTTAAGCTACATTAGTACAATGACCGAATAATTCCTCTCGAATCTTATTGATCAAATTCTCAGTCGTGCTATTTGTACTGTTACAATTAAAGAAAACGACGTCTTTCTAATATTATATTTCGAAATAAATTGCATTCGAGAATTTCGATAAATTTTCTATAAGTTTGAACTCGTGAACTCCGAAAACGTATTGGATTTTTTCCACAGCATTAAATTTTTAGTATGATTCTTATAGTAAATGAAAATTAATTGGAGAAAATAAGAAACAATATAAATCTGTTCTTTGTTTGTTTTCCTAGGATTTTGTATAGTTATGTTAAATGAAACAAATTAAAATGACATTGAACCAACACCTAATACAATTTATGAAAAAAGTCTTTTATCATGCTTCTAATAATCAACCATATTCAATTGCATTCATAAATTCTCTATTAATATATTTTGATAAAATACAAAATCATGTTGAATTAACATGTCAATTTTCAACAGGTGATATACGTGATTTATTATGTTTTATAATATTTATATCAGAAATAATTTATATAAATATATTTCAAAAAAAAAACATCATTTCTTAGTTGTGAAACAGATCAAATAATATCATGTTGTACATTATCGAAAACACTATTATCAATATTTGAATATATTTATCAACGACATGGTTTAACTATATCAAATATATTATAATCATATTTAAATTTAATTGAACCAGATAAAAGATCATCTTTATTATTTAACAAAAAAAATTAAATATATATATATATCATATATTTATTGACATGATTTATATTGTATAGTTATATTATTATTTTGTTTACCAATATTTATATAAAGACAACTTTGGAGTTGGTTGATTATTAAGAATACAATTTCAAGAAATATAGGCTCCATTTTTAGCTTCAATTAATTCATCACAAATCAATCTAATGATGAAAATAAACAAACAACAAATAATTGTAAAAAAAAAGAAGAAACTTTAGAAACAAATGCAACACAATGGTAACAAGATTGAAAAATAAACTAGATTCTATCTGTTTTTTTATCAATATTAGATACAAGTTCAAATAATTTATTTACAAATATTGAGCGATTAAGTACACGTGATTTATTATCCTATGGACAACTTTCATATGATACTATATTAACATCAATCCAAAGTAATAATACATTACCATTATCAGTTAATGTAAGTCTCACATATGTTTTAATAATCGACAAATAGAACTCTAAGTTAAAAGAAAGATAAATTCATTGCTAAAGTATTAATTCCATCAAATAGAAAATCTAGTGTTTCTCTGACTTTGATTTGATATATAATACATGCAAACTATCTTATTTCATAGAGATAAAAGCTTATATCAATAATTTCAAATAAATTCTATCAATCAAAAAAATTAGATTATGAACATTTTCTTTTCTGGCATCCATCTTTAAAAATATATAATTTAGAGTTTATTAGATCGCTTATTTTTTGCATCGTGGTTTTGATTTAACATCATCATTACAAGTTCTAATTGAAATATATGTAATATAAATTAATAGGTTCATTTATATATCTATCTGATTTATTTCCATCATCACAACATTTATCAAATTTATATGATGAATATTTTTGTACATGGTTTGATGAAGATGATTTAATAATATCCTTAATAAGTTATAATTTATGTAAATCTAGTATATTACTTGAACAAAGAACAAAAGAATATAATGAATTATATCTACGTTTAATTGAACACAATTTTAAATTAACTAAAATTCATGCATATACATTATGTTTATTTTTACTTGAAAGTCATGAAGTTGATTTAAATTCATATGTTATTTGATTATCATTAATTAAAGATGATAATTTAACACAAAAAATTATATCAATTAGTCTTGAAAAACTTTTAATAGTTGGTCAATATCCTAAAAATGATATATGGTGTTAATACTTTCACGTATCTATACATTATTACAACGACCAAATAAAAATACAAAATCTATAAAATAATGAACATGTTAATAAAGAATAAACAATAATTGATAGTTCATCAATAATATCATCATCAGATAATATTCTTATTGAACTTGTTGAAGAATTATATGCACGTACAAAACAATCAACAACATTACCATATGAAGCTTTACTTTTATTACGTTCTTTATCATTATTACTTGCACACATTAGTTTTTTTTTTCGTGCTTTAATTAATGCACGTTATTCAGCTAAAATTAATGAATAGACTTTATTATCAATGACAAATATTGCACAAAGAAAAATCACTATGTACTGCTATATGGGGGTTAACTTGTCTTATGTTAAGTGCATGTCTATCACAGGGTGTGGGTGTGGGTGAAGACAAGACCTATAATGATACCCACATCCACACCCTCTTATGAGTAAAATTCTGCCTATGGTTAAATATTCTTCCTAGTTTTCTTTTAAAAAATGATCAAGACTTACACATACAATTAAAATTTATTTGGAAAAGAAAAATAGTAAAACATTAATGAAAAACAAAAACTCTTTGTTGCAATCCGAAGAAATGACGATCAGTACAAAATCAATAAATTTCGCCATGAAATGTCAAAATGAATTTTCATTGATAATGTAGTATATCTTTTACTTTTTTAGGTTTTTATTGATGTTATCACGTTTCAGTGTTCGTTTTGAAGAATCAGACAATTGTTTATTTTTTATTGCTGATCGAAAATAGTATCTGCAGGTATATTAAAAGAAAACTTGCAAATATCAATTGTATCAACAAAAAACAAAAATCTATTTTATTTATTTTAGTTAACGAATATTGAACATTGACGTTAATTTGAACAAGCATTCATAAATGAATCGAATCTAGAAAAATTATATGCTGATTTACTTGAACACATTCAAAATACGGTGTGGATGTAGATGTTGTTTGGATATGTTGATGAACTATATACTCTCTCTCTCTGTCATTCATACCCACACCTTCAATAAAGACTAAAAATATCAATTCATAAAATGGAAACATAACAACAAGAATTAATTTATTTACTTTTTTTCTTTTTAGTAGAATCTGTCTCTATTATAACAATCATATCTAAATTTTCTAAATCAATCAGAATAGATTGTCATTTATTTTGTGCTCTAATTTCTGTTTGGCTTATTGATTTATATTTCATATCGTATGTTTTATTATGATTTCAATCATTGATTTAACTAGTAAATAAGTCGATTACATGTATCCATTAAACATATTTTAGCCATTGAAGTTTTAACGAAAACTTTTTTAAACCATGTCGTTAGAGTTTAATAGAAAGTTACACAAATCTGGATTAAAACTTGCATTTATAATCAGTACTTTTAATAATATCAAGAAGAATGTGAGTATAGATGTTGATATTCTGTTTAACCATATCTACACTCTTTGAATTGTTTTGGTTTAGTAGATTATATGTAAAAGCAGCTATCATACTTCATCCTATTGAACTGTTTTCTCAAAAATCCATTGAAAATGATAAATTCAAAAAGTCTCGCACTACACAATTGTTTCTTTTTTATTCAAATAACAATTCTTTTTTCTTGATTTATTATTCGTACTTTTTATTATTTTATTATCAATACAAAAAAAAATTTCATAATAAAGAAAAAAATTGGATATTTTAATGTAAAAAGCAATTCATCATTAACAGTATTTAACGATAACTATCAGGGAAAGGAATCAAAACAACTTCCACAGGTTCGAATTCAGTTCGATGCCTGACAAGCGCGGTATTATCCTGTAAAATTATTTTAGATTATAAATTTCTGATAATCTTTTTAATGAAAAGCATTAGATTTTATTTGAAATTTATTTAACTTTTTTAAAATTTATTTCTGGATTTTTGGTAAATGTTTACAAAATGTAAATTGATCGCTTTGCAAAATATTCCATCGAACATCGTTTGATAATCACATATAACATCACAACTTTACAAAAATGATTATATCTTAGCTAATCTTTTTTTTTTCATATGCTTATCTATATTTATTCATTTTTTCAAAATTACTAATATCTGTTTATGGAAGAAGTCGTTGTTTCAATGAATAGTATGATGCTGAATCCTATTCTATTTTCATTATTGAAAATAGGAGAGACGATTAGCTTCAAAACTTTTTTTCTCACAATCTACTTTCGTGATTTAAATTTTGTGTTCTAACTTATTTAACTTTGTTTCAAATATTTTTTTTTATTGTTAGCACAGTAAACTTTGCATACATGTGACAAAGCAAAATAAAAAATTTTTTTCTCATAAAACTTAATTTAAACAGAAATATATACAATAAGGTGTGAGTTTTCGGTTCATCTACAAAGCCATACATTCTATTGTCTAGGAATTCGTTGTATCCTCCACTTTTTCTTCCGGAGAAGTGTTTCTTTTTTTTTTTTAGTTTGGGACAATTATCAATTTAGTTTGCGTTTTGTTTCAACAAGCAAGTCGTTGCAAATCTTCTAGACTAAGAAAATATTTTTCCACAGTTACAGTTTGTTGTTTGTCTCTTCTGAATAGATCAATCAATCTCATTCACATTTTTCAAGCTAATAATTGTCATTGATATCTACTTTTAAGAATCATCTGGATCATAAACTAGATCATTCGATTTTATCGTAATATAAGATTACCTGATTTTCTTCAATATGTCATTTCTTGAACTCTTGCAAAGACATTCTTTCTCAGACATTGACCATCGACGAAATTCAGAAACTCTAAGATGTTATCAGTTATGTCTTCTAATCTTAAATAAATATATTTCTCCTGAATAATTGAAAATTCAGATAAAATTAGAATTGTCTTTTATCACAAATATTCACTCTATTCGTTAATTAACCTTAAGAAAATCTTATATTTTGTGTTTGGATATTTGGAATATAAATTTTTCAAAAGTTATTCAAAAGAAAAAGAAAACTTTGCAAGGTCACGATCTGTAAAATGATAATGCTGAAATCTTGCAGAACGCTGGTAGAAATAGTTAATAGTTATGTCATTGGTTGCTTTAAAAACTATGCATTGAAAACAAAAACATGTCTGTTAACTCCTACTGAAGTATTCGTTAGTCAAAGAAACATTTGAATCATTAGCTTTAATAGTTATTTCCATACAATGTAGTATTTATACACAAATTTTTTGATTGTTAGTAAATTTATCAATAAAAATCTTGAACAAACTGTTCAAATTCTTCTGAAAAATCATGATCTTTATAAATTTACTTATGCGCTCATTAAAAAAAATGTGTTTTTTCTTAACTACTGTTTCCTCGTACATTGAGATAAGTCCAGTGAGTGATAAAGTTAATTTCACCAACTGTTGTCTTTTAAAGAAGACTCATGGTTCCACAGACTACGCATGCCTTTTTCTTTTTATATCGAATATAATTGTTGTTGCCCTTTTCAAGGAACTATTGCCTTTAGTCAATTAATTTTTGGTTAAAGAAAAGCATCAAATTTTGATAGCATTTGATATTAATATTTTCGAAGTAAATCATCAGTTAAGAAGAAAGTTAGGAGATTTGCAAAACTTTCACTTTGATCTGCTTATCTATAGATGACTGAATCAATTTGTTTGATCTGCCTCCTCTATTTCTTGTTTCATAGATCTTTTAAAGTTCTACAAAAGATATCTTTTTCTCTATTGCATTCATGTTATCAATTTTGAGTGAATAATTTTATCTTATATTTTTGAGAAAAATTGTTTTTCATAACATCAGTATGTGTTTCACCTCTGCAAGTGTTTTATACGAGATTTATCATTTCAATGGAATAATATTCATTTATCTAGCATCTTCTATTGAATTTTAAAAAGAACACTAAGATAATTTTAATTAAAGCTGCAAAAATCGTCGAAAAATATATTCAACCAAGTAAGATGTGAGACAACAAAATTTCAAAACAGAAAACTTTTCAAACATAAGATTGTCAATATAAATACCTTTAGGAATATTAAGAATGTTACAAAATTAAAATCATAATCATCTAATATGATGAATATTATTCCATTGAAACGATAAATTTTGTATTAAATCTATTCAGATAAAAAAAACACATAAAGCTGTTATGAAAAAAATTCTTCTCAATGAAATGTAAGATGAAATTAGTCATTGGAGATTAGTACGATAGGAAAATAACATTGGACTAGATTAATGCATTCTACAAAATTATATATTTCAATCAATGAACAGTTTATAAATTCATTGTCTTCTTAGATTAACTTGTCATATATGTTTATCTACATCAAAATGGTAATGAGACATATGCTTGTAAGGTTTCTTACATCAAACTATCAGCTGTAACTGAGAATTTCTACATTGAAAAAACTGATTTTGGTGTGGGTGAGTTTGGATGAGGTCAGAAAGAAGAGATTCACCCACATCCCACAAAAAAGCTTGTCAAACTCGTGAGAATGTGCGTAGGGCATATCTGAAATTCATTTTTCTTTGACTCCGTGTGGAAGATGCAAGAACAAAAATAAATGGTAATTAACAGCTGGTAATTTCTTTATATAGTTATAAATGACTTAGTATTTTAGTGACCATTGATATCTCGCATCTTATATGCATATACACGTTAATTATCGTTTTGTATAAATTAACTTTATCCATGAAAGAGTCTCGAAGATTTACTATATATACAAAATAAAAAGAACAATAATGTTCTAATAAAGGAATATGCAATTGATATTCGTTATCAATCAATGTTCAACTTCATTTATTAATAAGAGATAAATTAGATTTTAAAAAATAACTATGAACATATATGAGGATTATGAAAATTCTGCAGTCAGACGTATTTTCTATTCGTGCTTAGTTTGAGTAGAGATCTAGTTTAGATATGTTACTGTTATTAAACAATGAAGTGTTGTAATAAGTTTTAACTTTTAAAATATTAATATAAGGATAAATTTGAAATAATATAATTATTTATTGTAAGAATATTCAAAAATAGAATATATTTCAAGTTGTTTATTTTCGGTCAGTTATATGTGAGAAAGGAAATAGAACAAGATGATAAAGAGAAGAGGAGTTAAAATAGCGTTTGGTGTCAAAATGTAACTGGAAATAAATTGATTATTAATAATAAAAAATATCTTTTGGTCAAATATTAATGTTATTGTTTTCATGTAGGAGTAATTTTTGTATACATTCTATTGTACAACTAATAAAGAATATTAGTATAATTTAATATCAAACACAGAAGATCTTTTCATCTGATTTAACTTACGAAAC